CAATGAAAATAGCGAAAATTAATTCCAATCGAAAATAAAGTACTTTACAGTAACACAAAATTTGAACAATACTTCCTGTGACTGACACCCTAAATGTGTCTAGCCATCACAGATAACTAACATGAATAGTAAATATTCAATAATGTTTTGTCTATTATTCTCGTTCAAGTATGAGCCAGTCAATGTTATTGGTCAAAAACAGTCACATGACCAGTCAGTTATTGGGCTCTGATTTCATACCAACCAGATCAATTAGATTGTTATTGGACTCAGCAGAGTCACAATTTATGATAAGCTAGGGATTACAACTACATTTAACCTGTAACCTAAGGAGTACAGCCAGAGTTGCTGATATCAAGACAATCGATAATGTAATTTAATATATATTCCAATTAAATAAATTTGACAAAAACATCGACTTTTCCACAAAATTAGAATCACGACTACGGAGCGGAGCGACAATACATAATTAGTTTTAAAAGTTAACTGACCATGCATTACAAAATTGGACTGATTCACTGATCGTTGACTAACTTTCTACAAACGACTAAACGAAATGTGTTGTTAGTTTATACTACGCCACATACTAAACCATGAGGGGGAACTGCATGCACAAACAATTATAATAATAGCCAACCTGAGTAAGACACATATGTAATGCTTTGCCCTGGAATGGAAAACAACCAATTAATACACATAACGGTGTAGGAAAGTTTGAGGGAACAACAGTTTGTAAAATACATTTTAATTGGAGTGCACGCAGACATGTGACTAATGATTAGCCAATTAGAGTAACCGATTTAAAACAAGGTGCAGGAAAGTTTGAGGAAACAACAGTTTGTAAAATGCATTTTAATTGGAGTACACCTAGACATGTGACTGATCCTTAACCAATGAAAACAACTGTTTTTAAGCAAGGTCGGTGATAGGACAATCCAGAAATGGGTTACACACTAACTGCTGTCATATATTCTAACTGACAAACTTTGTAGAAATCTATATATTTTCTAAAAACTTATTGAATCTGCCAGACATTAATATACTTTCTTCTTAATATCTAAATATTATTAATCTGTAAGACACTGATAGATTTTTCTAAAATTTATTTTTAATCTGTAGGTAGCTAATATATTTTCTTAAAGCTTATAATTAATTCTTAAGAAACTGATATATATTCTGAAAGCTTATTATCAATCTGCAAGGTATATTTTTCTTATAACCCATTATTAATCAGAAAAAAAACATTATTTTTTTTTTTATTTTTAACAGGGGCATTTCGTTCTTCAATGTCAGTTTTTGTTAAACCATTGTTTGAAAATAAAATATTCAAAACTGATATATTTTCTAAAAGCTTAGTAATAATCTGTAAAAAAAAAAAAAGTTTTTTTTTTTAGTTATTTAACAGGGGCGTTTTGCTCTTCAATATTAGTTTCTGTTAAACCATTTCATAAAAATAAAATAAAATAAGCATTTCATCTGTATATAAATGCAAAAGGTTCAAATTACGCAGCTGGAAATCTTAATAGTTATGTTAGCACTAGGTGATACAATTTACTGTTTACAGCCTTATGTCAACGCAAAGTAACCCCAAAAGATTCAATTTTCTGAAATTGACATGCAACAACAATAGAGTTTTTATTTTTAATATTGCTGAATAGGTTCATGTACTGATAGATGGCTACAATGGAATTTGTTCTACATTGAAAATGCAGTAAGTGTGAAATTATAATTGTTTTGACGAGTCATACAAAATAAATGTACAAGTATATGTGAGTTTTTTATTTTCTGAATGGTGAAAGTTAACTCTGGTGCTCACAGGTAAAAAAAAACCCATAAAATCTTGTACAGTGAATACTAGGCTCAGTGATACTCTAAATTAATTTATTTTCGCTATTTTTGCTGAAAGAATGATTCAGT